CGGGACAACACTGTCTCTGTGCTGAGCCTGTGCAAAGGTGACCGGAGGGAGAAGGGTTTTACACGGCCTCTTTGACGCATGAATATTAGCAAAAGGATTCAATGCTGGCCGGAGACTTACCCTGTAAATCAGGGCTTAACCGGCAGACTACATGGTTACCGCTCGTGCAGCCTGGCTGGAGAGAGACATGAGCAGGGAGAAGCTGAGGAGGTTGGTAAGAGGGTAGGACTCACAGGGGCAGCCTAGGCAGGCCCACATTGGACTCAGAGATCAGTATTTACCCCCCCAATTGCCTGCTGTGGCCCATGCTGGGAACGTTGCCTAACGGTGAGTGCGGCGTTCTGCTCCCAGCCCCTGACTCGCTGTTGCCTCGCCGCTCTGTGCCTCAGGGAAACTGAGGCAGGGTTGCACTGCCGGCCTCGCCTGGGAGTGGCGAGGCTTCCTTTACGAATCCCCGCCCGGTGCTCGGAGAGCCCCTGGTAGGAAGCACAGCCAGGCCTTTCCAAGGCAGGTTTCCGCTCTGGATTTCCCCCGGGCGGCGGGTGGCCCTAGCCGCGCCCCTCCCCCCCTGGGGAAGCTGCCCCCCCTCTGGTCTTTCATGCTAGCGTGTGTTTTATTTTGCTTGCAGATCAAGAAGCTGGGCTTCCGACGTTTCTGCCCCGCGGCCGTTTTCATGGTTGCTTGAAATGGTCGATGGTCTGTCTTTGTAAGTAAAATGAAACATGCACTCGAATGAGAGACCCAGAGCCCCCAGAGAGCATCCCCCGGTCCTCACTGCCGCACTGCGTGCCAGGGACGGCCTGCCCCTTGCTGGGGGCGGGGGGGCCGTTCCGCTACGTGGCGGCAGGAGTTGGATGGGGTGTGCTGCCCGGGGAGGGTGGAGGCAGGCAGGGGCACTAGGAGGTAGGCTAGGGCAGGGCTGGGGCCTGGCTGTTGGTCCCTCCCCACATGCAGGGGCACAGGGCACGGAAGGGAGCTATAGGGTGATGTGCTCTCGGCCTTGGGGCTTGGGGAGCTGCGGGGCGGTCACAGGTCAGGAGCCCTGCAGGTGCTCAGCTGCACCCGTAGAGGCTGGGGGACACGTCACCGTCCCAGTGCAGGGGAGCTGGGGGACCCGTGCTGGGCACCACCCTCTGCAGCTGATCCGGGAGTCCTGGGTGCCGGCCTCTCTGTCAGCCACAGCCCAGCGGGAGCGGGGCGCGGCGAATTCCCCAGCAGCGAGCGCGCCCCCCGGCCGCTGCCGTTCATTTTGTACCTTCTCCATGTGAGCGGGACTTGGTGCCAGCCGCTCGCGCCCCCGTTGGCGACCCGGGTGCAGGCGGGTCCACAAACCTTCCGTCAGGGCCATGTGCGGAGTTTAACTTAGTAACGCACCTGTCACTGGAATAAAAGCGCTTGTGGCCGGGGGTTATTTTCGGCATCTCTTTAGCAAGCGGCTGCTCTTGCCCCAGAGTCGAGCGAGAGGGAGCCTGAGGAAACCCCATTCGAGGGCTGCTGGTTTCCAGCACAGCGGGGCAGGTCAGTGGCGAATGCAGGAAGGGGGCGTTCAGGGGAGCCCCGGGGTTATTCGGCGGCTGCGTTTCCTCCGGGCGAATGGGGGGGCGCTTGGGGGCCCTGACGTCATGGCGGTGATTTGCATGCGCTGCTGGCTGGCTGGCGGGGTGCACCGTGCTGTGTAGCTTGCAGGCAGGAACCCCTCTGCCACTCCCAGCGACTCTGATTTTCGGGTGGCGCTTCTAGTTGCTGCTCTCAGGGCCGGATTGAGGGGGGGGCTAGCCGGGCAGCTGCCCGGGCTCCAACCTATGGGGGGTGCCTGATGGCAGCTGTAACGGGCGCCACGCGCCCGATTGGAGCTGTAAGGTACGCAGCGCGCCGGGGGGCGGGGCCGCATTTAAACATGAATGACACTCTGTAATTGACTTAATCAGTTACCAAATTGTTATTCATTATTTGATGGTAAAGGAGAATTTATATTCACACATTTATTGGAAAAGCAGTTCCATACTAAGATTTGCTCAGACTACAACCAGTACTTTCGAGAAAGGAAGCTGCTTTTTTGAAAGAGAGCACCCAGGCAGTCTGAATGCTCTCTTTCGAAAAAGCCCAGTTTGCATTCAAGAATGCCTTTTTTCGAAAGAGCACTTTCAAAAAAGGGTGTTCTTCCTCGTAAAATGAAGTTTACCATGGTTGAAAAAAATGCCGCGTCCTTTCGATTTAATTTCGAAAGAACTCAGCGGCAGTCTAAACGCAGGGGAAGTTTTTTTGAAAAAAGGCCACTTTTTTCAAAAAAAACCCTGTAGTCTAGACCTACCAATAGTGATAAAAGAGCCAATTCTGGACCTCCCAGGACTCAGTGCGATCTGGCCCTGGCCGAGGCAGGGTGGACCAGACGGGAGCAAGCTGCGCGCTTCCCTCTCGAATGTCTATGCAGCAGGAGACTGTAACTGTGCCCGGCTCCTTGGCCGAGTTTGGCACGAGGGCGCCTTTTCTAAGGGCTTGATCCCTGGCGGGTGCCGCTGCCGGCTCATCCAGGAAATGCACGGCGGCTGCAGGGTCCAACCGAGCCGGCCAGGCTGTGGTGCTGCCACGGAAGGTTAGGAAGTCGGGCTGCGACGGGAAGAGCCCTGCCTGGCTTTCGGGGATTGCAGCCAGCTGCCTCTCCAGCGGCTAGTCAGGGCTGGGCTTCCCGTTGTGCACCCCGGGGTGCTCACCAGCTGGAGAGAGGGCTCCGGGGGCGTGGCCGGGCACGAGCAGCCCTTGGCACAGGCAGGAGACAGAGCCCCCTCCAAACACCCCTGCCAGCCAAACTGCCTCGGCTGGAGCCCTCACCAATTTCCCCAGAGCCGGAGCTGCCGTTAGCTGAAGGTAGGGGGGTCCCAGTGGCCTAATGGCTCCAGCATCAGCCTCTGAAGCCTGGGGTTGTGGGTTTGAGTCCTAGCCAGTGTTTCCATTGTGCATTGCTAAGGGCTCCAGTCTGTGCTGGCACCCTTGTTGGCTGCCCCACTGGCTTCCATGGGGCTGGGGCAGGTGAGCTGTATTGCTCCACAGATCCCTGGGTGCAGACAGGCCCAGATGGCTCATGGTGTTGGTGTTAAAGAACTGGGTGACAGGGACAGTGGCTGGGCCAGGCCTCAGGCAGCAGGGTGGGTTGTTGATCTATCAAACCTGAGGAGTTCCTAGCTGCTTCACAGCCCCCTTTGTCCAGTGTCCCAGGCAAGCTGACATCTTCCCCCACGGCATGCAGATGAGATACCAATGCACAGATCTTTTCTGCCAGGAGCTGGGACTTAGCTGATGCCAACAGTCTGTACACTGAGGACATCATGGGGTAGAACTCGGAGCCCCCTGCTCCAAAAACCCTGCTGAGCTAAAGGAAAATTCTCATTTATTTCTGGCTGTATAGAGCGTATGACACATAGCAGAGCAGCTCTGAGTCTCTCCAGTGGGGGGCAGCACTACTTGCTAGAAGCCATTACACGGTTCTTCCAGGAGGCCAGGGGCTGGTCTGGGTAGCCAGGGCCTTCCTCGGTGACACTCTCTGTCTCTCTCTCCTTGCAGTAATGAACGGGAGCAGCCACTCCCCAACCGCGATCAATGGAGCACCTTCCACCCCCAACGGGTTCAGCAACGGGCCTGCCACCTCCTCCACCGCCTCCCTGTCCACCCACCAGCTCCCCCCAGCCTGCGGCGCCCGGCAGCTCAGCAAACTCAAGCGTTTCTTGACCACCCTGCAGCAGTTTGGGAACGACATCTCCCCGGAGATCGGGGAGCGGGTGCGCACACTGGTGCTGGGCCTCGTGGTACGTTCCGCGGGGCGCGTCCCTCCGGCGGGTCCCCTCACAGAGGGGGAACCAGGCGAGGAGCTGGTGGGAGAATGGGGCTTTTCCCTCCCGGCACGGGGGGGCAAACTCCAGAGAGATTCTCCCTTGTGTGTCTGAATTTGCCCTGAGGGAAAACTCTGCCGTTTTCCCGGAAGCAAACACAGCGTGTGCACAAAAACGGGGGATTTCTCCTGCACCCGTCCCCAGGTACAAATTGCCCATTTTGGCCTCAGGTCAGGGATGTGGATGCTTAATCAGTTAACCCATGGGACTGCTATGGGCAAGGGTACTGAAATGAGGGTTTTCTGCCTGAGAAACCCAATCGCCGGCACAGGGCGTGCTTGCTATCAGTCTCCCAGGGATACGTCTGTTCCACACTAAAGGCCTTGGCACTTGTGGGAACTGATGTGTTAGAAATCCTCCCAACCCCACAAAAAAACCCCAACGCACCCAATTTGCGCAAATGGAAGTCAGCCGCGGGAAAAACGTTCCCCGCTTTCACTTGTTCCGCTACGAGGCCAGGTGTTTTGGAACGTCTCCAGGGCTGGTCGCGAGGACGGCCATCTGGTTAGAAGGGAAAAGGGGCGCAGTCGGAAGGAGGGGAAAGAAAAAAGAGGTGAAAAGGGAATCGTCCCAATGAATGGCCCCGCATCCCATCCCAGGATCAGCCAGGAACGGTGCCAGTAGCCGTGTGCGGAAAGGACTGTTCCTCCCCAGGAGGCGGGAGGGGGACGTGGGTGTGTGTGTGGGGGGGTGACCGGCCATGTGAAGAGCTGGGGCAGGGGCTGTCACTCTCTGCTCCTCTCTCTGAACCTACCCGTCTCTGCCCGGCAGAACTCCACGCTGACCATCGAGGAGTTCCACTCCAAGCTCCAGGAGGCCACCAACTTCCCGCTGCGCCCCTTCGTCATTCCCTTCTTGAAGGTAGGCCCACGATGGGCCCGGAGCCCCCCCCATATCTCCCGGGGGGCAGTGGTCCTGGCTCGGGCACCCTTTGGGGACGAAGGGGTCTCTGGAACCCCCTGTCTTTGGGCTGCAGGCAGACAAGGGCCTGGGCAGCAGCGGGGGTCGGGTGGGAGCCAGGCTGCGATGCTGCGGGGCGGTGGGGTTCCAAGCACCGGGTTTGGGGCGGGTAAGGACGCTGCTTAGAGGCGGTGTTGGCAACAGGTCTCCTCCCCCCGCCTCCCTGCAGAGGGAAAGGCTGTTACAGGTGTGCGCTGCAGACACACAGCCCGGCCCGGCGGCCAGGGACTGGCTCTGAGACAGCCACAAGCGCAAGCTTTGAAATCCAGCCGCCCTGGCCTCTCAGGAGACGGCGGTGGCTTCGGGCAAAGGTCTCGCTTCTCGGACGCCTGGCCTCTGTCCCGGTGGGGCCAGATCCCGTACAGCTGGGCGGCAGGGATCTCTGGGGAGGAGCCCCAGGGAGCTTGGGGGGGTCGTGCTGGGCTAGTTGCCTGCATGTTGTAATATTCGTTTTAAATCCGGGAAGCCAGACTCCCTGCGCTCTCCGCTTGCACCCACGGCTCGTGGTGGCAGCGCTGTCCGGGCTGGGGGTGTGACTGTTTAACCAGTTAACCGGTCAGTCTCGCTCTTATGGTTAACCAGTGAGGGCTGAAGCAACCCCCCAACCCTCCCCCGACCCCATTAATTGGTTAACCAGTTTAACAATCTGTGTCCGCAGTTAGCCAATGACTGGGGGTTACATCCCTAGTCTGGGCAGTGGACCCAGTGCGTTGTACACTCCGGTTGGCCGAGGCGACGGGGGCAAGGCTCGGGGTCTGTGTGGCATCTTTGATCCCGTGGGCACAGCAGTGTGGTCTCGCCAGCCGGCTTAGCCCCACCCTGGGCAGGTGCCTGGCATTGCCAGCTCGCGAGGCGAACGCAAACGAGGATCAACCCCCCTCTCCCCTGTGAACTCGCCCTGCCTGCTCAGTGCTGCCCCAGCCTGGCTCTCCCGCTAGCTCTGCATGGGCACCGCTCGGGCATTGGTGGTGCCATGGGGGGGGGGGTGTCCTCCAGCCCTGTCGCTCCCTCCTGGTGGGGAACTGTGACGGCACATTGGGGTTCCCCTTGATCCTGCACCCCCATACCAGCGCACATTGAGCAGATATTTTCAGGGAACTATCCACAATGACTCCAAAATCTCTTGGGCAGTGTCTAGACTAGCAAGTTTTTCTGGAAAATCTGCAGCTTTTCCGGAAAAACTCGCCAGTTGTCTACACTGGCCACTTGAATTTCCACAAAAGCACTGACTTCCTACTGTCTGAAATCAGTGCTTCTTGCAGAAATACTATGCTGCTCCCGTTCGGGCAAAACTTTTGCACAAGAGGGCCAGTGTAGACAGCTCAGATTTGTTTTGCCAAAAAAACCCCGATCGCAAAAATGGCGATCGGGGCTTTTTTGCGCAAAAGCGCGTCTAGATTGGCACGGACACTTTTCACAAAAGCACTGACTTCCTACTGTCTGAAATCAGTGCTTCTTGCAGAAATACTATGCTGCTCCCGTTCGGGCAAAACTTTTGCACAAGAGGGCCAGTGTAGACAGCTCAGATTTGTTTTGCCAAAAAAACCCCGATCGCAAAAATGGCGATCGGGGCTTTTTTGCGCAAAAGCGCGTCTAGATTGGCACGGACACTTTTCCGCAAAAAGTGTTTTTGCGGAAAAGCATCCGTGCCAATCTAGACGCTCTTTTCCGAAAATGCTTTTAACGGAAAACTTTTCCGTTAAAAGCATTTCCGGAAAATCATGCCAGTCTAGACGTAGCCAAAGGGTTTATTGCTTCTCCTGGATACAGCCCAGCACAGACGTGACGTGGCTACGGGAGTCAGGAGCTTCAGGGGGTAGCCGAGTTAGTCTGGTACAGAAAAAAACAGCAAGCAAATAGTCTGGTAGCACTTTATCGACTAACAAAACATGTCGATGGGATCATGAGCTTCGTGGGCACAGCCCGCTTCTTCAGATGACCGGAGTTATGACTAGGGGATAAGAAAACTCGAAATAAATAGGAGAAGGGAAGGGGGGGGGGGGAGAAAACTCAAAATAAATAGGAGAAGGAAAGGTTGGGGGGGGAGGGGGAGGAGAGAAAGATGCTCTGTCACCCACCCCCCTACCTCTATACATAAAGTATCAGGAGAAAGGGTGCTAAACCTGAGTAGATAAAGATCAAAGTCGGTGGATAGACAGGAGTCAAAGCCAGGATGCCTCAGACCCCTTGGGTTAAGGGTCCATCACCCCTAGCCCCTCAGCCCCCAGCTCAGGCTGTTCCCTTCATCTTTCCCAGCCAGCAACTGCCCCTTCCCCCGAAACCTGGTGTTCATCTCCACCCTTTGTCTCTCCCCTGGGGGAAGAGCCTTGTTATCGGCCCAGGCTGGACCTAGGTGTCTGGGTGGGTGAGTCAGGGGAATCACACATCCCGGCGCAGGGGGACCCCGGGTCACAGAGCAGACAGCCCCCCACTGCGCCACAGGAGCCCTGTGAAGAAACAGGCCTCGCTGGGCCTCAGGACGCCTGGGAGAAAGAGAAAGAGACAGAGCTGGGTCAGCCAGGGGCCCACAGGGACCAGGATAGGGGCCTGGCCCCATGCCCCACCCCACTCTCAGCTTGCCAGGGCCCAGTGTGATGTAACTCTAGGCCCCTGTCATTAACGCTAGGGACCCCGTAGTGTGTTAGCGCCCTCGTGTCGTGGGCCCCCCTCACCTAGCCCTGCCTCGCCCCACACAACCCGAAAGCCGCTCCCAGGACTGGCACGGCGAGGGGCGCCCCCGGCGCTTTAAACCGGCTGGTGGCCTCTCTGCTCACAGCTCCTCCGCCCGGTCTGCTGCTTTGGGAAATCGCCCCAGGGCGTGGGGGGAACCAGAGGTCTCTTGGGGTCCGGCGCTCCCGGCCCGTGCAGGCTCCTAAGGCGCAGGGGCTTAGCCCAGAGCCCCCGGAGGCCCAGCTGGGACCCATTTGCAATGCATTAAAAACCTCTCTCTTTTTTATTTGCCTTTTAATTCCGTCCTCCGCCTGCTCTGTCGCCTGGTGCTGGCGGGATTCTCAGCGCGCTGGCATGTCTGTCCAGCCAAATATTCACAGCAGATGTTCCCAGGCTGGGTTCAGCTGCCCTTGTTTATCAGAGGAGTCAAGGCAGAGGAGGAAAGCCGCCCCCCCACCGTTGTATCTTTATTATCTGCCCCACCCCGGCCCCTAGGGTTCTATCCCGATGGCTCTGAACTAGCCGCAGGAATCTGGCCAGCGCAGCCTCCAGCGCTTGGGGAGCCTTTGTCTTCCGCTCCCAGGGAACGGCAAAGGTTTGAACACTTCTGAGCGCTCTGGGGGCGTTCGGCGCCAGCCCCACACGCAGCCGCGTCAGGCAGGGAGGGCTGGCCGGCCCCCGCCCCTCTATGGGGGGCAGTCAGCAGAAAACCAGAGCCCCTTCTGGCTGAGGATCTCAAAGCCATTGAGTTTTCCCAGCCATCCCCGGGGTTTAGACAGCCAGGTCCCACGGACACGAGCAAAAGCTCCGTGGCCAGTCGCTTGGGCTAGTCTGAAAATCGTCAGCCGGAAGGGCCCGATCCTGTGGCTTTTTGTTCTGTGGCTGCGGGAGTGGGCTCTAGTTATCCAAACTGCATGGAGTCCCCAGGAGATCGGTGCTATTCTCCCTGCTGTGTGGACGGGGAAACCGAGGCACAGAGAGGCCAAAAAAGGGGCCTAACCGGCAGAAGGACTGGGCTCTCACAAGTCACACTGATGCCAATGGGAAAGGTGGGCGCTCAGCACCTCTGAAAAATCAGGCTTTGATTTCTGGGCTCTGAACTGACTTCTGCGGCCTTGGGCCAGTCACTTAACCCCTGTGCCTCAGTTTCCCCACTGGCGAAAAGGGAGTAATGGCACGCCATCCCTCCTCAGGTTACTGTGCAATTGAGTTTTCTGGTCTACGGAAAGTGCTGTGGACGGTGAAGGATTCATTACTGCGGGGCAAGGAGTCGGCTTTGGGAATCTGTGTTGTGCTTTTCCCCGACTCTCCCTACGCCCCCTTTTTTATTCTGTGCCTAAGCCCGGAACAGCAGCCCCTCCGACAACTGCAGTCAGTGAGTCCCATGGGGGGAGCAGGCTCAGGGGACAACCCCCCTGCCAGCTGGGGAATCAGTCTTGGGCACTGGGCAAGGTTTCTGATGCTCCTTCCTTTGCTAGAGGAGACCAAGCACTGTGGGGCAGGGTGCTTCACATGCTCCCCCCCCCCCCCAGGGGGCACTGCGAGCGGGCCAGGGCTCTGTGCCAGGCAGGCTTGGCTCCAGCTCCTTGGGCAGAGGCCGATATGACTCTGCCCTGGAGGACCTTGGGTTCCGGGTGGCCCTCTGTGCCCAGACCTCTGGTTCTGGGGTGAGCTGCAAAGCTGGCTGCTTTCTGCCGTCCCTGAGTGGCGCTCAGCAGCTCTGCGGCCAGAGCAGCCGTTTGACAAGGCTCCCTTTGCTGTCTGACCCTGGCACCCTGCTCCCAGCTGCTTCCACCTAGGTCGCCAGCTGCTTCTCGTTCCGCTAACTGCAACCAGCCAGCTCCAGCCTGTTTCCCAGAGTCCTGGGGTTTTTTAAATTATTTATTGAAGTGGGGGGCGGGAGAGGGAGGGGGTGCTGCCCTCGCATCTACAGCAGCGCGTTTCCTCGGCTCGCGCGCTAACGTGTTCAACAGATGGCGATTTGGCTGGGGATCAGCTGCCTAAATAGAAAACCGGGGCTGGCAGCGAAAGCGCGCAGATAAAAAAATGTGTTTCTGCTGCTTAATCAGCTCTGCGTCGGATGCTCTTCTCGGGGTCGGCGCTCCATGGGAAACGCGGTGGGTGGGGAAGCAGCTTTGCAAAGTGGCCGAGCTACCCCACGGGTGGGGCTCTTGCGGGCTGCCCGCCAACGCCGCCCCGAGCCGCTCCGGGCACTGGCGAATGAAAAGGAAACGGGGCACCAGGAGCAACCGTGGGGCCGGGGCAGCTTGCTGAAAGCATCTTTTCTGGGGCGCAGGAGGAGCCCCCAGATCTGGGTGTGTCTTCCCTCCATCATCCAGCTCCAACACCCACTGAAATCCAACAGGGCCCTGCCCATGCCTTTGGGATCAGAGTGGGCCCCAAGGGGATTAGGATCCTTCCCCAGGGCAGGTCATCCCTTGCCAGGCAGTGTACGGGCCCGATCCTGGCACGCGTCACTCGAATTCGCAGCTCCAGGAGGAGCCCCCAGATCTGGGTGTGTCTTCCCTCCATCATCCAGCTCCAACACCCACTGAAATCCAACAGGGCCCTGCCCATGCCTTTGGGATCAGAGTGGGCCCCAAGGGGATTAGGATCCTTCCCCAGGGCAGGTCATCCCTTGCCAGGCAGTGTACGGGCCCGATCCTGGCACGCGTCACTCGAATTCGCAGCTCCTTACTCGGTAACAGCGCCATCAGCTTGCGGAGTTGGGTGCTCCTCGGGTGCTCCCCTCCCGACTCTAACAGCCAAGGAGGGACCGAGGGAGACCCTCCTTGCCGAGTGCCCGGTGGAATCCATACAGCTGGATCCATACAGCTGGCGGGCAGGCCAGGTGTTCACAAACAGCTGTTGCTGTTGCCAGGGGAGGTTTTCCCAAACACAGCGATTCCCATTTGCCCCTCAGTGGCCTGGCCCGGCACGCCGGAGAGCCCTTGTGCCGAGTTCCGACAGCCACGGCTCAGGGTGGCCTGCTGGGATGGGGGACGGGGACACCCCAGCACTGTGCAGGATTGGGGGGAGAGGGTGCCGGACCTCTGTGTGCCCCAGCCGAGCTGGGGGGCTTGTGAGGCTCTGCTGCATGGAGACCGGAGCCCTGGGCGGTGAATTCGTGGCCGTGTGTTCAGACGGGGCAGGTGGTAGCCGGGCCCGGGGCCGGCTCTGGCAGAGGCAGGCGTGGTGGAGGACGCTCCAGCCTTTCACACTTCCTCCCTGCCGCTCAGGCCGGCCTCCTCTGCCGTTTCTCTTGGCCTTTGCTGCTCTGAAGTTGCTCCCAGGAGGTTGGTTCCCAGCCCAGGCCCCAGAGGACCGCGTGCCCGGGAAAAAGGGGGAGGCAGGTTAGCCGGGGAGAGGATGGGGCTGTGCCCTCGGGCTGGCGGGGGCTTGACGCAGCCTCTGCCCCCTTTGCAGGCCAACCTGCCCTTGCTGCAGCGCGAGCTGCTCCACTGTGCCCGCATGGCCAAGCAGACGCCTGCTCAGTACCTGGCCCAGCATGAACAGCTGTTGCTGAACGCCAACGCCTCTTCCCCCATCGACTCCTCGGAGCTGCTCCTGGAGGTCACCGAGACTGGCAAGAGGAGGACACCAGATAGGTAGGTTGTACGGTGAGCAGTCCCTTCCTCTCCCCCGCCTCGGGTTCCTCTCCCCGTTTGACAGAGGGGGAAACTGAGGTACGGAAAAGAAGTGACTTGCACAAGGCCCCCCCAGGGAGTCAGTGTCGGAGAGGGGCTTAGTGGCTCAAAGCGCTGTGCAAGGGCAGGGCGGGGCAGGACTCCTTTCCCCAGCCTTGTAACCCGGTCGTTCCTGTTCCCCGCCGCGGAGCAGGACCAAAGAGAACGGCTTGGACCGAGACCCCCTGCACCCCGAACACCTCAGCAAGCGGCCGTGCACCATGAGCCCGGCGCAGCGCTACAGCCCCAGCAACGGCCTGCCCCACCCCCCGCCGCCTCCGCCGCAGCACTACCGCCTGGAGGACATGGTCATCGCCCACCACTACCGGGACACCTACCGGCACCCCGACCCCCGGGAGCTCCGCGAGCGCCACCGGCAAGCGGGTGAGTGGCGGCGGCGGGGGCCGGGGCCCCCCCGCGGGGAACGTTCGGGGGATGGACCTGCCTGAGAGGTCTCCCATCCCGAGCAGATAGGGACACCACGCACTGCATGCCGAAGGGAGGTGCTTGGGGAGTCCTGGGGGGCTAGTGGGAGGGGCAGGAGCACGGTTCCCTGAGCACATGGGCAGCTGCCCAGGAGAGATTCAGGTGCTGCCCAGCTGATGGGCAGAACGCCTACAGCTGGCAGCCTGTGTTTCGATTGGTGGTGCGCATCCGCCCATGCCTTGGTGCACAGAACAAAATTTATTCTGCACCTGGATGGAAGCCATGAGAAGGGACATTGGGCAGGAGCCTCCGTGGCTCTGGGTGGCTTGAGAGCACAACGAAGGGATGTGCAAGATG